CAACAGAGTGAGACTCCAACTCAAAAAAATTAAATAAATAAATAAATAAATAAATAAAAAGTTTGTTTGAATCAGGTTGCACATAAGTACCACATAATGCAATTGGTTCGTATGTCTTTTATTTTATTATTTTTGAGTCGAGGTCTCTGTCACCCAGGCTGGAATTCAGTGGCACGATCATGGCTCACCGAAGCTTTGACCTCCTAGATTCAGTCGATCCTTCTGCCTCAGCCTCCTAAGTAGCTGGGATGACAAGTGCATGCCACCAAACCTAGCTAATTAAATTTGTTTTTTGTTAGAGACAAGGTCTCTATGTTGGCTAGGGTGGTCTCTAACTCCTAGGCTCAAGCAGTCCTCCTGCCTTGGCCTCCTAAAGTGTTGGGATTATAGGTCACTTCACTCAGCTAAATCTCTCTCTCTCTCTTTCTTTTATTTTTATTTATATTTTTTTGAGTAGGAGTCTCACTCTGTTGCCCAGGCTGCAGTGCAGTGGCATGCTCACAGCCACTGCAGCCTCCATCTGCTGGTCTCAGGTGATCCTTCCACCTCAGCCTTCCAAGTAACTGGAACTACAGGCGCACACTACCACGCCCGGCTAATTTTTTGATTTATCATAGAGATGAAGTCTCACCAAGTTACCCAAGATGGTCTCAAACCCCTGAGCTCAGGCAATCCTCTCGCCTCGGCCTCCTAAAGTGCTGAGATTACAGGCTTGAGCCACTGTGCCTGACTGGAGTTTGTTATATTTCTGTTCTACTTTCAAAATCTCTTCACTGATTAGTTCATTAAGTCTGTTTCATCTTGTCCTTCATCAATACATTCAATGCCTTCTTGCTGTTCTTTTTCTCCTTTCTTTGGTAAGTCTAGGAAGACCCATGTCTCCTCCTCCCCAGGGAAGAAGGCAGTTTTGGTTTTTCTTTGGGGGCAAGAGTGGTAGACTGGCATTTGGGGGCTATGCTGATTCTTAGACTTTCCTTGCTTGTCAGGAGGAAGATCAGAAACCTCATTCATTTTCATAGCTGAATAATATTCCATTGTATGAATAGACCACATTTTGTGTATCTGTTCATCAGTTGGTAGTTATCTTTGTTTTCAAACCCCTGTTTCTCAGCTGGGTGAAGTGGCTCACACCTATAATCCCAGCAATCTGGGAGGCCGAGATGAGATAATTACCTGAGCCCCGGGGTTCGAGACCAGCCTAGGCAACTTGGTGAGACCTCGTCTCTACAATAAATCAAAAAATTAGCAAGGTGTTGTGGCACGCACCTGTAGTTCTAGTTACTTGGAAGGCTAAGGTGGAATGATTGCCCGAGCCCAGCAGGTTGAGGCTGCAGTGACCGTGAGCATGCCACTGTGCTCTAGCCTAGGTGACAGAGTGAGACTCTAACTCAAAACAAAAATAAAAACAAAAAAACAGTTGCTCACATGAGTTTCTTTTTCTCTAGAATGAGGATGAGCTTTGGGTTGACTTTTAGGTCAGCAAAAGGCCATTGGACTGTGAACCTCAGCCGGCAGTGCTCACGTGGATCCATTGGGTTATTTGTGCCTCCAAGTCCTCCTTTGGACCCTGAGAAGGTCAAAGAGTTACAACGTTTCATCACCCTTTCCAAGAGACTCCTTGTGATGACTGGGGCAGGAATCTCCACTGAGTCAGGGATCCCAGATTACAGGTCAGAAAATGTGGGACTTTATGCCCGCACTGACCGGAGGCCCATCCAGCATGGTGATTTTGTGCGAAGTGCTCCAATCCGCCAGAGGTACTGGGCAAGGAACTTTGTGGGCTGGCCTCGGTTCTCCTCCCACCTGCCTAACCCCGCACACTGGGCTTTGAGCAACTGGGAGAAACTCGGAAAGCTCTACTGGCTGGTGACTCAAAATGTGGACGCTTTGCATACCAAGGCGGGGAGTCGGCGCCTGACAGAGCTCCATGGATGCATGCACAGGTGCAGGAAGGTCTAAACGGTTTGAATGCAAAAACGTGTGCTGTTTCCTGAGAGCGGGGACCTTGGCTGCTGTCTTAGTTAGACCTTAAGAAAGGATTTAGGAGCACATTGTTTATTTTTGAGTAGATTCAGTGAAGGAGTGGGGACATAAAACAGGGACGGAAGGACCAAGAAAGGGTGTGTTAATGAGTGGGTTACTGCATTGGGTAATTGGGGTTCAGTTCCATGAGGGACTCTCCAATTGTCTAGAACATACTTCAGAATTGTCTCACTGAAAGTCAAGGAACCTGGGCATGGTGGCTCACACCTGTAATCCCAGCACTTTGGAAGGCAGAGATGAGAGAGTCGCCTGATTCCAGGGGTTCAAGACCAGCCTGGGCAACTTGGCAAGACGCGGTAATACATAAAAAAATTAGCTGGGTGTGGTGGTGCTTGCCTGTGGTTCCAGCTACTTGGAAGACTGAGGTAGAAGGATCGCCTGAGCCCAGTAGGTTGAGGCTGAGGTAGCAGTGAGGGTGACACTACTCCAGCCTGGGTGACAGAGTGAGACTCCAACTAAAAAAAAAAATAAAAGTTGAGGATGCTGGGGGATTTATCCACCATCTCCATCCCTCATTGGTTCAGTCACTCTTAGGGAATTAACTCCCTAACACTTTACTTCTGCTCCTCCTGAGAAGGCTTCCACAGCTGAAGAGCCTAAACCTAAGCTTTCTCGACCTAAGCAATACAGACATAGGAAACTGATTATAAAAGTGTGTACACATGACCTCCAAGGTTTACTGAGGGGAATATGAGCAGAACACTAATTGCTGGGTCTCTGGTGCCTAAACACATGGAACACAGTATCTCCTGGCATGTAGTCAGAACTCAAGAAATAATGAAGAAATACATTCATGGACAGGATATCATGCCTGGCAATAATTGTAGCCCATTGGAGACCATTTCTTTATCTTTTTTTTTTTTTGAGTCAGGGTCTTACTCTGTTGCCCAGGCTGAATTGCAGTGGCACAATAATGGTTCACTGCAGCTTTCACCTTCTGGGCTCAGACGATTCTTTTGCCTCAGCCTCCCAAGTAGTTGGGACTGGAGGCACACACCACCACATCCGACTAATTTTTTGATGTTTTTGTAGATATGAGGTTTTGCTATGTTGCCTACACTGGTCTCGAACTCCTGGGCTCAAGCAGTCCTCCTGACTTAGCCTCTCAAGGTGCTGGGATTATAGGCATGAGCCACTGCGCCAAGCCCTATTTCTTTGTCTTTAGGTCCTAGGGAGATCCTCTTCTGAGGACTGAAATCAGTCTGCCAATCATAAAATATTTACTGGGACCTGGCACAGTGGCTCACGCCTGTTATCTCAGCACTTTGGGAGGCTGAGGCGAGAGGATTCATGACCAGCCTGGGCAACTTGGCGAGACTCCGTCTCTACAATAAAGCAAAAAATTAGCCGGGTGTGGTGGTGCATGCCTGAAGTTCCAGCTTCTTGGAAGGGTCAGGCGGAAGGATCACTTGAGCCCAGCAACTCAGTGCTCTGGTGGCCGTGAGCATGCCACTGTACTCCAGCCTGGGTGACAGAGTGAGATTCCAACTAAAAAAAAAAAAATTACTGGGTGTCTAGAATGTATGAGTGTACACTGGTTTACTACTTTGTGGTGTAGAGTGGTCAAAACCAGAGTATAAAGCATGGTCTATTTTATATTTGAGAACTTTGTAATGTTGGGAGGACACAAAAATAACATGTTTACTTAGAACAACTCAACACATGATTGTTAAATTGTGTGGTCCTAGATATATTCACAGTGCACATTCCAAGAAACAGATTTAGTAAAGATTGGAGTAATCTAGAAAGCTTTTATTGGTACAGTGAGATTTGAGACTGGCTCAAGTTTGGCTACTCAAGGGGAAAGAGGGCTTTCTAAATGAAAGGAATTTGTAGAACCCAAAGGAGTCTGGCACGGCCTCTGTGGAGGTTTGAACTGGGGACTAGTATGAAACCAGATTGTCTTGGAAGGCTAGACCCAAATCATGGCTGCATTTGAAAATCAGGCAGTGCAGTTTGGTCCGTTGTGAAACACCCGAGGTGACTATTAGTGGTTTCTAAGCAAGAAATAAAATGATAAAAATAGCAGTTGAGGAAGGATAGACAAGATTAGAAAGAGTAGGTCAGGGAGGTCGGCCTGAAGGACCCAGACTAAGGTATTAAGGAAATTAGAGAGTTAATAATGACTATGGGTTCATTAAAAATTTTTCTTCTTGATGAAAATTTGAAGCTGGGCTCGGTGGCTCAGCCTATAATCTCGCGCTTCGGGAGGCTGTGAGTGGACTGCCTGAGCCTGCGGGTTCAAGACCCGCCTGGGCAACTTGGCAGACCTCAAAAATTAGCCGGGCGTGGTAGCGCGCACCTGTAGTTCCAGCGACTTGGAAGGCTGAGGCGGAAGGATCGCCGGAGCCCAGCAGGTCGAAGCTGCGGTGGCCGGGAGCGGCCAGTACAGTCCAGTCTGGGCGACAGAGTGAGACTCCAACTCAAAAAAAAAAAAAAAAGAAAGAAAATTTGAAAAATTCTTAAAAGTAAAGAGAATAGTATAGTGAATTCCCATAAACTGTCACCCAGATTCAAATATTTCATCAGTTTCTTTTCATGTCTACTTTATCCTTTTTCTTCCTATCACTTTTTCAGTTTTTATTTTGTTATTTATCTTTTTTTGTTGCTCAGGCTGGTCTTGAATTCCTTGGCCTCAAGGGATCCTCCTGCCTCAGCCTCCCAAATCCCTGTGCTGAGATTACAGGTGTGAGCCACCTGCTTGACCTCTCTATTTCTTCTTAAACATTTTAAAACAACCCCCAAATTTCTTGACATTTTAGAGAGTGCCTTTTAAAGGAAGAAAATCAGTATAATCTGATAGCTGACTAGTATTAAAAGGAAAATGAGGAACAATTTTTTCCCAAGTAACTGGAGGGATGATGATTATATAGAAGTTGGGCTGGGCATGGTAGCTCAAGCCTGTAATCCCAGCACTTTGGGAGGCCAAGGTGAGAGGATAGCCTGAGTCCAGGGGTTTGAGACCAGCCTGGGCAACTTGGTGAGACCTTGTCTCTACAATAAATTAAAAAATTAGCGTGTTCCTGTAGTTCCAACTACTTGGTGTGTTCCTGTAGTTCCAACTACTTGGAAGGCTGAGGCAAAATGATTGCCCGAGCCCAGCAGGTCAGGCTGCAGTGGCTGTGAGTGCCACTGCATTCCAGCCTGGGTGACTGAGTGAGATGCTAAGTCAAAAAAAAGAAGAAGAAGAAGAAGTTTAGGTGGGGTGGCTGAAGATAGAGGCTGGATTGGGTAGAGCCATCAGGAAGACTTGGAGACTGGACTAGAGCTTGGGAGAGAAAGCAGGAGTAGAGTCATAGGGGAGGAAAGCATTACATGGAAGCATTGAAGCAGTGAAAACAGGCATTCCCACTGGGCGTGGTGGCTCAAGCCTGTAATCCCAGTACTTTGGGAGGCTGAGGTGAGGGGATTTCCTGAGCCCACAGGTTTGAGAACAGCATGGGCAACTTGGCGAGATCTCATTTCTACAATAAAAAAAAAAATTAGCTGGGCGTGGTAGTACGTGCCTGTGGTTCTGGCTATTTAGAAGACCGAGGCAGAGGGATCGCCTGAGCCCAGCAAGTGGACACTGGGGTGGCCATGAGTGTGCCACTGCACTCCAGCCTGGGCAACGGAGTGAGTTTCCAACAACAACAAAAAAGAAAACAGGCATTCCCCATGGTAGGGAACATAGAAAGAAAACAAGGTGGAGGATTGAGGAGAATACAGCAGAGGAACCAACTAATTAACCTTTTATTCTTTCCTTCAACAGTTATTTAGTGAGCACCCACCCTGTGCAGGCACTATACTAGGTGGTAGTTATAGAGCAGTGGTCAAAAGACACAAGGTGGTCAGGAGTGACAGCTCATGCCTGTAATCCCAGTGCTTTGGGAGGCAAGGCAGGAGGACGCTTGAGGCCAGGAGTTTGAGAACAGCCTGGAAAACTGCAGGACCCCTTCTCTAAAAAAAATAAAAATAAAAAAATTAGCTGGGTGTGGTGATACATGCCTGTAGTCCCAGCTATTCGGGAGGCTGAGGTAGGAGAATCACTTGAGCTCAGGAGGTTGAGACTATGGTGAGCTGGGATTGCGCCATTGCACTCCAGCCTGGGCAAGAGAGTGAGACCCTGTCTCAAGGAAGGAAAAAAAAAAAAAGAAGAAGAAGCCAGGCTCGGTGGCTCAGCCTGTAATCCCGCGCCTTTGGGAGGCTGAGGTGAGTGGATTGCCTGAGCCCGCGGGTTCAAGACCCGCCTGGGCAGCAAGACCTCATCTCTACAATAAATCAAGAAATCAGTTGGGCATGGTAGCGCGTGCCTGTAATTCTGGCTACTTGGAAGGCTGAGGCGGAAGGATCATTGGAGCCCAGCAGGCGAGGCTGCGATGGCCGGGAGCGGCCACTGCACTCCAGTCTGGGCGACCGAGTGAGACTCCAACTCAAAAAAAAAAAAAAAAAAAGAAAGCGGGGCTGGGGTGATAAAAGTGAGCTAGCAGAAGGTTAAGGAGGAAATGTGTAGTAAGGAAATAGATATACATTATAGTTCTAGAAGGTTGGCAGTGGAAAGAAGGTAAGACACTGGTGGTAGCTAAAAAGGTCATGAGAAAGTCTGATTAAAATAGGGGGAAACTGTGTGTTAGGAAGAGAAAGCAGTGATGGAGGGGCTGAAAACGGTTGGGGATGAGAGGTCTTTGGCAGCTTTGTGCCGCTCAAGAGCATACTGTTCAGTCAGCCTCTTCCTTGGTTTCAGGGTCCTCTGCTTGGACTGTGGGGAACAGACTCCCCGGGAGATGCTGCAGGAGCGCTTCCAAGTTCTAAACCCCACCTGGAGTGCCGAGGCCCAGGGCCTGGCTCCCGATGGCGATGTCTTTCTCTCAGCGGAGCAGGTGCAGAGCTTTCAGGTGCCATCCTGCACTCGATGCGGAGGCCCTCTGAAACCAGATGTCGTTTTCTTTGGGGACACAGTGAACTCTAACAAGGTTGATTTTGTGCACAAGCGTGTAAAAGAAGCCGACTCCCTCTTGGTGGTGGGATCATCCTTGCAGGTATCTGCTTTAGGCAGAGTGGTAACTGCCCCTTTTGCGGGGTGGGGCGACCTGGAGAGGCCCCCTATTTGTTTTAGTTTTTCCTGGATCTAGAGAGCTCTCACGTGCGTCTTTTCCCCATGCAGGTGTACTCTGGTTACAGGTTTATCCTCACTGCCCGGGAGAAGAAGCTACCCATTGCAATACTGAACATTGGGCCCACCCGGTCAGATGACCTGGCATGTCTGAAACTGAATTCTCGTTGTGGAGAGTTGCTGCCTTTAATAGACCCACACTGAGCCAGGGTCGGTGGCTCAGCCTGTAATCCCACGCCTTGGGAGGCTGAGGTGAGTGGATTGCCTGAGCCCACGGGTTCGAGACCTGCCTGGGCAACTTGGCAAGACCTCATCTCTACAATAAATCAAAAAAATTAGCCGGGTGTGGTAGCACACACCTGTAGTTCCAGCAACTTGGAAGGCTGAGGCGGAAGGATCGCCGGAGCCCCAGCAGGTCGAGGCTGCGGTGGACGGGAGCGGCCACTGCACTCCAGTCTGGGTGACAGAGTGATACTCCAACTCAAAAATAAATAAATAAATAGACCCGCCGGGCCCGGTGGCTCAGCCTGTAATCTCGCACCTTTGGGAGGCTGAGGTGAGTGAATTGCCTGAGCCCGCGGGTTCGAGATCCGCCTAGGCAGCAAGACCTCATCTCTACAATAAATTAAAAATCAGCTGGGCATGGTAGTGCATGCCTGTAATTCCGGCTACTTGGAAGGCTGAGGCAGAAGGATCGCCGGAGCCCAGCAGGTTGAGGCTG